ACACTTTATCAAAAAATCTAATAATGTGCAACACTTCTATAAATTAAACCCTGTGTGACCAGCTGGAACTTTGAAAATTTTACCATAAACCACTGGGACAATTATTCCTAATAGAACTTTCTTTTTATGCACTTTTCTGAAATAACACACAATTAATTATTATGAGAAAATGTGTTGAATGCGATTTGAGGAATGCTTAAAAAGAGACCTGCTGTTCCATATTTCTATAGGTGTAAAAAGGAGTATTATAGTTCGGAGTGTCTTTAGTACTCTGTTCAAGCCTGGGAATTCTAGCTACTGAGCAGCTCTAGCACTCTAATGATATGTAAAGACAGATAGCTATGTTATGATGATTTCAGTAGAGCTATTTTACAGGCTTACATTGTTATTCAGAGTGGGTAGAACAAACTTTAATAATCTTTACATTGAAGTTTTAACAGTACAGAGAAAATTGATATATTTTATTTTTGGGATTAAGTAGTATTCTAATGAATAAAGTTATTAAAATATGCTTAAATTACATTTTGAGGTACAACTGGCTGAATCAGTATATTTATAATGGGATAACTTGTTTATAATGGACTCAACTGGGCACAGACTGCAACACTGGAATCCTGGGGTTCATTCCTGGTTTGGCTATATGCTATTTTATTCCAGTTTTTACAGGTGATAATTACATATCCTCCTTTTCTCAGGAAAAAATCCCTTAAAATTGTGATACATTCACATTCTACTACAAGGGCATGAAAAGATTCAGATAGAAAATGTAATTCAAAGTTATTGGTATTTGCTGGCTATTCTGTAGTATATGTAAAGGGAATCAGACATGTCAGTCCATTTCTCAATGGGCAATTGCCTAAATCATGAAACAACATCAATTTTAGTTCCTTTTTCCTTTAATCTGAGCAGATTGGTCAAGGGTAAAGCAAGGGATTATTCAGACCCTGCCCTTGGCCTGGATGATTCCTTTGGAAAAGCTTGAGGCAGAAACTGAACCCTTATGGTTCTGTTCTGTGCTAGATAAATAAAGGATATGGACTTTCTTTCAAGAGGTCTAAATCTTTAAAAAAATAAACCCAAGAAAACCCCTACTATACAATACACTAAATACTGGGCACGTCTACATTTGTATTTACGCATGCCTAAACGTAACGTGCCTTTACTTAAGGCACATTAAGGCAATTTTAGGTGTGTTTCTATACGTGGATGTGCTAATGCACATTAAGGCACATTAAACAGGCACAAATAGCTAAGTCACACTAATGCACATGCAGATGCACTAATGTGCATTAACATGGTGTGTATCCATTGACACACACTGCGCTAACACGCATTAGCACATCTACACATGCGCTAATGCGACTTAGCTAATCACACCTAAATTAGATACCTGCTTTATGAAGGTATCAAATTTAGGCCCACATAGCCTTAAATCACCATTTTTAAAGTGCATTAAGGGTGCACACATGTAGACAGGCACCCTTAATATGCCTTAAAAATGGAGATTTTAGGCTAAGCCCACTTAAAAGAGGCATGTGTAGATGTACCCACTGACCATCATAAAACTGGATAAAAAGATTTAAAATATCTTTTAGATTTTGTTATAAATTCAATAAAAAATAAAATATACATGTGATTAAGAAAACAGGCATTTTACTTTGCTGGAAACCTTTATCTGTCAGAATTTTTAGAATTCTAATAAATGAGTGATCAATTACTAAATATAATGCATTCTGGATAGTCTTTCTTTTAATATTTTTATTCTTTTTTTTCAGAAGAAATTTGGAAAAGTCTGCTGCATCTCACTATGTTGTTGGCAGGTTTACTTCAAGTAAGACATGTTCTGACAGAAGAGTTCAAAATTCAGTAGGCCTTACATGAGATGGTCTGAGTATTGTCAGTGGAAGTTAACAATACACACATCTGCTGGTTGTAAACTGTGCATAGAGGGATTAACACTGGGAAGTTATTTATAGAATTTTATATCTAAATATATTTTAAAAATAAACTCTCAGTGCAATATGTTGGTTCATTTACTGAAAAGCATTGACATGCTCATTAAATTCTGTCATACAAAATCCTTCATACTTTGAAACAGGGCTGTCCAACTTCCAAGTGGCCAAGGGCCACATGCTCTGTGGATCACATCACCGAGGGTCCCACACAGCAGGGGCAGCCAGGGGGCAGGCAGGGAGGGGAGGGCATGTTAGGTCCTTGTGGGCCAATCCTGCTTTAACATAATCAAGTTTGTTTTGTCTCTGGCTTCTGAAAACTGTTTGAGAATGTTCTGCCCAAAGTGAGTGTTACAGGTCTTTTGTATTCTAATTAGCAAGAAATCAGTGTAAAAACAGCTAATGCACTTTTCTCATTCATATATTAAGGTTAAAATGCAACATCTCAATTTTTTCTCCCTTTTAAACAAAAATCTGCTTAAATTTTGAAACAGGTTTCTGAACAAGTCAAAATATCTTCCCCGGTGAATTCCACAACCATTAAGGTTGTTCTTTACTGATGTTTCCCATTCATTTCAGTGGAATGAAATGGTAGTCTTTCTCTTACATGATGGGTAAAAACAGCAGTAAACTGAAACTGAAACAGAAGTACAATCCACAAGGGAAGCTCTACTACAGGTTTAATGTATTCCCATCAGAAATCACAAAGTCTTTCAGGGTCTTATATGTTTAGCATTAAAGTTCTATAACATTTATAGGACTAAAGGTACCTGTATATATTACATTTTGTTGTTGCATGTAGGCATTTTATAAGTAAATGCAGAAATCGCAAGTCACTATTCTTTGTCTTTATAAGCTCAGAGTTGGAAAGATGAGTTACTGAACAGTGACTTTGTCATGTTCTTTAAATATTTTGACAGACTTTTGTGCTTTTAATTACTAATCTATAAATATCTTATAAAAAACTGCACAGCAATTATCTTTGCTGTTTTGAGGACATGTAAATAATGATAAGTCTGTGGCACAGTAGAAGTGGTGTTATATTTATTTCTTCATACACACTTCATTACACAAACCAATTATTTATTTCCATACATGTTTTGCTCAGAATCCTCTTTCGAATGAATAAACTTTTAGTATGTTAGCCATATTTTAAACTAGCACTTGTAAATGTATCAGCAACATGTACACATTGAAACCACTTCTTTCCCTTTCTTTGAATTGCAATTAGAAGTGGTTATGTTTGTGAATCTACTGGGATTCCAAGTTTTTCCAATTACCAAGGAGTTTTTCTTTATTTGAATTTCTTTCCTCTGACAGCTCTAGAGAATATTTATAAAATAGTCAACTTTGAACTAGAATGCAAGAAAATAGCTAACTACATGAACACCATGTGCTGGTTATTTAGAAACAATATTAAAAGGAGATTAAAAACTATCACAATAAATAAAAAAAGAAGTAGCAACAGCAGAGCCATAAGTATGCTACTGCAGAGCCTGGGGGGAGGGATAACCTTGCAAAGCTGTAAGTTATCAGAGGGTGATAAAAGGGGTGGAGTAGAGTACAGACTTTCAAATTTACTGAAGTGATCTTTATACATTTACTACAGTTTATTTGTTGTCTAGCACTTAAAATTTGTCATTGAGTCTGCAATGGAAATACTTCTGTAATTGCCCTTATTATATGGATCATTGACCTTCAACAGTGAAACTGTTGAAGCAACTGTCCATTTATCTGGAAAATTACCACATGGCAAGATCACATTAGAGAGTTTTACAAGGCCTGCTCTAGCAAGTTCCTGTGTATTATAAGACACTGGACCATACAAATCTTTCTGCATTTGACTGTTAGATGCACCTTTAATGATTAAACATGGAAGAAAAATAGCATTTGCCTATCAATTGTCCTGTTAATTTTTATTTATTTATTTATTATGTTTTCTTTTCACATTAATTATAAGGGATAACACAGTCTCAATCATCATTGTTAAATATTATTACAGGGAAATAGGCATACTTAAGTTACAGTTCACTGGAACAATTACAAAAAGATTATGTGATAATTTGTTTCTGTTCCACTTTATTTTGGCTAAAATAATATCTTGAATTATAATATGTATAATTATATTATGGGTGTATTTTAAAGACATTTCATTTTCTGGAAAATAGCACAAAATATTGGAATTGAAAAAAAGAAATTTAGACTTAGTATTGCAGGGGAAATAAAGCCTTGAGAAAAATAGTAATCATTGACCAAGTTTTACATTTACCTCTAGTATATTCTTTCCAAAGCAATCAAATAGATCAAATAGATGTAAACAATAATGGTGAGTGTCTCCTGTATGTGTGGCTTTAATATAAAAAATGTGAATCTTCATCTGCAGCCCTTTAAAGACATGAAATGTCTGCAGGTAAATATTGGCAGAACAGAGTGTGACGTTCTTTATAGTTGTGTCAAGGTACCGTAGTCAGCAATCTTTATCGGCATCTTAAAATAGAACATGCTAAAAACAATGAGCTCTCATGTTGATACATTTATGTATGTTATAGTCTGTACATTTTAATTACAAAAGCCATATAAATAAAATTTCACTTGAAGTTTGGATGAGATGATTAGTTATAGTAGGCTGCATTACCAAAATCAGATTTGATGCTTTTCTAAAACGCACGTTCCAGCTCAATGTCATGATACCTATTATGACTCTTGGGATATGGAAGAAAAGTAAGCTCTCTTCAGCAGTGAGAAGCACCCAACATAATGTGTACTACAAGCAGCAACTAGAGTAGGGTTCATCTCCCGCTTTGAAGCCCTTGCTCACGACAAGCCTGTCTGCCCATCTTTTCCCTCAGCCAGTACAAGTATCTGTGTCAGGACACTGACCACTTTTCTCCACAAGGAGCTTAATACTGCCTGTGCATTAAAAAGGTTCTCATGTACATGTCACCTTTGGGGTATCGTATTTGTTGCATGTCTGGTATGTACAAATTGGGAGGTGCCAATAGTTCAAGTGCAAGAAAAACTTGCTTGAACCAAAATCCTTTGGGCTGGCCCATTTGATGTTGAATCTAGACTCATACATGAACCTTGACAGCTGCCTAATCTATGAATATACAGGCACCTAAAGCTTCTGTGAAGAATTGACAGAAATGTCTGAGATGATGATCGCAAGATGTAGTATGTTGTGAGTCTTCAGCATCTACATGGGCATCCAATAGCACCATTTAAAACATTAAAACCTCTCCATTTTATGTTTCTCAGAGGTCTTCTCCAGATCCATGCATAGATCCGTTCTAGGGTCTGGATTCCTTGGGTGGGTGTGGATGTGAGAAATGCAAAAACCTCTTCATCTTGCCTAGTTCGACTATGAAATAAAAAACAACTCTACTGCAAGTCAAAAAAACCCACTAGGATATACTACCATGGGTGGTTCTAGGATTTTGAAAAGGGGAGTGGCAGATGGTGTGGTGCATTATCACATAAAACAGGACACAATTTTTTCTCTGGTTAAATGGAAACTAGAAGCTTTACTAATATGCTAAGGGCCTAGCACTATATTATTCAGTCTAAGATCAAAGCAAAAGCAAATATAACTTTATGGAAATGTGCACTAGTTCTCTAGATTATATATTGTTTAAAAACACAAGAAACTATGTAAGAAATGATCAAAATAGGCAAAATATTACCTCATTAGTCCTGTAGTCATTATAATTAAATTAACATCTCTTATTCAAATTTGTAAAACAAAATACAGTCTTCCTGACCATCTTGACAGTACCTCCAATACGTCACTGTCAGTCATTTCTACACCTAAGTTAATATTACCACACCTGAGTTAAGACTTTTAGCTAAAGCAAAAAATAGTCTGCAGAGCTGTAAAATAGAAGAGAGACATTACTAGGAATGGTACCAGCAAAATTGCAGAAGAAAGGATAGTTTGAATAGTGGAACATCAAATGGACAGAGGGCTGTTAACACCTCTGAATGATGCAACCTTAGGAATCAGGTAGATGGTAATGGGCCATGAAGTCAGTTGACTCCCACAGAGATACCTAAATAGAAATGCCCCTGCCCCTCCCAGATAGTTGGTTTTAAAGTTTGGGTGCAGCAGGAAACAAAGGGTGGGGGGTGCAATTGCACCACTGCAACCCCCTAGAACTGCCCCTGTATACCACACACAAACTCCTGTACCCTATCATGTTTCAAAGCTTATTTACAGAAAACAAGAATTGTATATAGATTATCACTGCAAAAGATAAGAATGACTTTCTAACTGTTTTTAGAACCAAATGTAAATATTTCTCCTACAGCACTACTTCCCTTTGCAAATATACAGATGGAATATCTCTACACATGGGCCTACATACAGGTAAGTCTATGTAGAAAAATAAAGTAAAAGTAAAGTAAGAGCTATAATTCATTATTTAAACCTTTAAAATTATTTAGTGCACTTGTAATTTCTCTTTTAGGATAGGAACATGTGGTCATTTCAATGTACTGGATGTTTCAGATTGCTGTATTGCTAACATTATATGGATTTTTTTTGTAGTTTTTTATGCTGTTAGAAGAAAAATAAAAATGTATTCGTTCTATTTCCAGAACAAAGCTATTTTTAAAGTTTCACAGTTTTTCTCTGAAGAACCTCAGATAAAAAGAACAACAAAACACAACACTTCCATGCTAGTCTGAGCAAAAAGGGAAAATTTTGTTTAATCAGATGTCATATTGTAAAATAGCATTAACATAAATTTTTAATCTCTTAACAGAATATATATAGAACATCCCTTTTATTAAATACCATTTAGCTGTGCCCCCATAATTAGCTCTTCAACCTTTCCTATAAATAAGCTCTTCCCATTGCAGTGTTTTTTTACTCTTGTAATTTTACTTTTGTAGTCAAAATTATCTTGCCTATCATTCTGTGTCCTGAATT